AAAGTGCGTTGCTATTTCTTGCACTTAGACATGTTTACTAGAGTAAATATGAAATACAATTATAATGATTATTCTTAGAGAAATAAAAACAAAGTTGGCCATATTTAATGTTTTTTTTACTTAATGATATACCATCTTGCAAGCATTGAGGTAAAAATCAAAAGACAAAAAAAAAGGGTTGTAAATGGTATGAGTTGGTTTCTCCCATGCACTTATGTTTCCACCATTTTGCTCTTGTCCCTAAAAGGCTAAAACAATCCCAACAAATAATCAGATTATATAACAAAATTAGCTAATAATCTCATGGAAGCATATAGAAAATATGAATGAAATCAGATTTTAATGATTGTTGAAAACAAATAAACGTTGCTATATTAATCATCAATGAGATCATTGGACTTCGAACGTTAGTTGCTACTTATCTTTTTGACCAACAATCACTTGATTGATTTCCAGTTGGCTTATATGAGCTTTTAATTTTTGATTATTTTCTTTTAACCCTTCAGTTATCTTGTTATCGTTATCTTTAAGAAACAATATTTGATTTAGCGTTAAATAATATATGTAGGTGGAGTTAGCAGTACCCAAGCATAAAAATGGGGGAAAATCAAATATTTCATGATATTTACTGTAGAACCAACATTAAAAAGTATTAATCCAACATATTTAAGAAAAAAAACTTTGAAGAATTTACCATGTAGAGCTCTTGGATGGTAGAAGTAAGAACTATAAACATCAAATATCATTAAAAAACAGAAATAACTATTTTTAAGGTTGTTTCAAGGAATATATACCATTATTTCGGGGAGACATACAACTCAGATCTCAAAAACAAAACCAGAAAACTCATATTTGAAGTTCTTTATCAGCTTGTTCATAAAAAAACACACCACCATTAAAAATCTAAATAGTAAAAAGAAATCACTACAAACCTCGAGTTTAAAATATTTTATATAAACAAAAACATTATAACAAACACCTGGTAAACACACTACGATCCTGCTTCTGATGGGAAAAAAAATGCAATCCGCATGGATGTTTAAGCGCTTTGCAAGAGAATAGAAGTTGATGAAGTAATGAATTGAATGTTTCGAATTCAACAAAGAGAAGACGAAGATAAAGAAGGGATTTGATTATATACCTGGAATAACTTTCAATTAAGTGTGTTGTTGGAGAAAATCAATCTACTTACATCTTCCAAACACATGAAAACCCAAAATTCATTTCACTTGGTATTGGTTTGATGAATCAAGTGTATAGACAAGGGGAGATGAGTTAGCAGGACCTGATTGGGGAAAAAACATTAAAGAAAGTGATTATTATGGTAAAGATAGGGGAAGTGAGTGATATCATGGTGGAGACATCGAGAGTAAGAACAAATTAAACGGATAGAAATAGAACTCATTTGCTAGAAATCGAGAAAGAACGTCATGCGCTAATTTGTGTAGCTAGTGTTGATCAAAACTGCTCTAATTTCATTCATTCTATTGTCGGAGGCGACACATAATATAAGCAAATCAAAACCCTAAATTATGAGAGAAATTCGGAAGAGATTTGAATAAAAATCCTGATTTCTTGCGATTAGATTGATTACTTGAGCGGGAAAACAAATGAGTAGGTTAACAGAAAAAGGACACGTGGCATAGATGACTTTTAAAAAAAACGACAAGTGGCAATTTTAGGAGTCTTTTATTAGAAGAGAGATTTTTTAGGTTATAATGGTGTTTGTATTTTTTTTTTTTTTTTTTTTTTGATATTATTAATAGAAAAAAAGTGATAACAAAATGTTCAATTAAAAAAAAACGAAAAATATTATATTAAAAACACTAAAAAGAAATAAAAAAACTGAAACTAAAAAACATTAAATTTTGAAATTATATCTATTTGGCAATGTTTTAAAAAACTATACATATGATAAATATTTTTTTCAAAATCATTATTTTGATAAATAAATAAAAAAACACTCTTACAAAATGATACGAAAGTTTAGCATTATAACATTTATGTACTTCTTTTATCAAAGTCTAATATCTATCATTCCTAATAAACAAAGAACTTTTTGATGTCACACTCTTATTGATTTTGTCACATGTTATTTTGTGGTTATTTTCAATTAATTTTTTTCCACATGACATTTTGTGGTTTTTTTTCATTTTATTAATTTTCACATAATAGTTAAATGTAATAAATTCAATAATAAATGCATATCAATTTGATTAATTAACTTCCTTTTAATCTCAAAATTTCTAAATTAAAGTTCCATTAGTTTCATTTGTTTATTTACCTAAATTATTTGTTTAATTTAAAAGAAAATCAAACAATTTAATTTTAATAATTAATATTTTTCAATTTTTTTAATAAATTTAAACTTCTCAAATATCTCCTATTTTTTATTTAAAATGAACCTACGTAATACATGGATCTTACACCTATTCGTAATAAAAGACTCTCTAAATTGTCATGTGTCACCATTATAATCCACCTCTTTGCCACTACCACAACTTGGTTTTGCCTGCATTTCCTGCCCATTCCTTGATTCAAAAGTCAACATCATCAACTCCTACTAATTAGGAAATCAGTTTTAATACTTCATTATTTATTCCCTTACAACATTGAAATTACGTTTTAATTATGTAAATACAATAAGAAATAGATATGAGATCCCCTAAAATCAGCTATTGATATTTCAGTTACCTTATCTTATACCAAATATACCTCCAACATAATAGGAATTTCAATCATACAGGTGATTAATTACTGAGTTTATGAATATTTTGAATATTTAAATTTCAATTTGTATTATACATGTTTACCTGTTCATTAGACTTATAAAAATCGATCCCCGAAAATTGTTTTCTTCATTGGCGTCTTCAAAGCTTTCAATCGATAATCCTTCTGTATCTCTTCAAACTACCTTCTGCATTTACATCAGGTTAGTATAAAACAAATAATTGTTCGTTGATTTATGTTTATGTGATATGATCTACATTCTGTTATTTACTTTATTTCTTTCTTCTTCTCCTTCTGTTATGATTCTTCTAATGTATCATCCTCTCAACAAGTATGTGGTAAAGGAAAGGTAAATTGACACGATTAAAACACACACACACATAGATGCATCATCTGATTTGGTCTTATAATTGAAGATTTAACATTTTGTTACGTTTGGTTCATTCCATTCCATTCTTCCCTGATCCCGTCATACAAACACCATACAAAAAAAATGCAGAAAGTTGGTAAATGCATAAAAAGGTGAAAATATTATACATTTTAATTGACCATGGTTGGATCGAAGTAATATGTGATATGTCGCAGGAGTATAACAATCTTTTTTCTGAAAAGAAAAACAACATAATTGTTAAAAATTGATTACATAAAATCAAACAATAAGAACATAAGATTCTTTATTTTTTGTATAATTCGTGGGAAAATAAATTATACATTTGCTTTAAACATGTAATACATAAACTATTTTTGTTCATTTTTTTTTTTTTATATAGACCATTCCTGTAACATTTTTTTATAAATATATGCTACATTAATATTTGAGGCATTATCTACATTTTGGAAACAAATAAGAATCATGAGACCGAAGATAACGTACTTCATGTTTTTCGTTTTCCAAGTACATGAATCTATCAAAATAGCAAACCTAAATTGAAATATCTTTAAATGCAACATGTTGATAATGGTTGTATATTTGCAATATATATATATATATATATATATATATATATATATATATATATATATATATATATATATATATAATATATATATATATATATATATATATATATATATATTGTAATTTTGATCTCTACACACAGTAGATAGTAATGCATCTTAAGCCGAAGAAGGAAACATGCAACAAAATATCTCATTATACCCTTTTTATAATTGTTAAAATGACGAAATCCATTACTTTTTTTTTCATTTAGTTTCTTGCTCAAAGTGTTGTGTTTATGTTTATTAAATGGCAACTAATAATATTATAATTAATTTTCCGTCAAATATTGTATCTTACTTATATTTAACCTAACTTGTGTAAACTTATTATTTTTATTATTTTTCCTGTTTTTACTTATTTGCTTAAAGACAACGACAGTTACGTAAATTTAACATAAAAGGAACCAAATCTGACTTTTTTAGACAAGGAAAATTCTTTATAATTTTTAGTATATACCATTTATGAATTGATATTTAGATAGGGATACATCCGGAAATTTTTTTGTCTTTGTTTACCTTTTTGCTAACTGCTACTTATCCACCTTAAGCACCTCTTTGAGATAAGGATAATTTGGGAAAATCAGTAAATAAGGAACATGTTATTATTAGAGAGGTAATTTAAGTTTTTGTTGTACTTTGAAAATTCTGATGTTAAATGAAAACAAGTATCGTTTCTGATTGACCATTAAGCCATGGACCAATTCCGAAAATTGTACTAATTCTTTATCTTATTGCTGACATCCAAGGAATTGTAACAAAGTTTCAATATTTTTTTTTTTCATTTGTTTTCCTTGATCATAGTGTTGTTATGTTTATGTTTATTGATTAACAATTAATAACATTAAACTTTCATTTTCTGTCAAATATAACATCATTATTAGATTTAACCTAAATTGTGTGAACTTATAATTTTTATTATTTTTTATTATTTTACTTATTTGCTTAAACACAGTGAAATGATTATAATGTGATTGTTTCTTGTCAAGCTAATGCAAATAAAGATGTATCCTATATTAACTGATAATATATTTCTCAAATATATTATCACGTGATACATAAGTCAATATTATTTAGTCAAGTCTAGCATGTTTATCTCTTGTATAAGCTCCTTTATTATCTCAGTTAGGTTGTAATCTTTGGCTATAAATTGCCTCTCTGTTGTACACTAAATCAATTAATTCAAATACAAAGCTTTTATTTATATGGTATCAGAGCTCCATTAGGCTCCAACGAGTATCGATCCAAATCCAATCGGCGACCTAAATCAAGCAATGTCTACAAAGGCCAACATTCAAGTTACGGCGGCCACACATTTCACCATTAAGCTCAACCCTAATAACTACCCCGTATGGAAGAAGCAGGTGGAATCCACCCTTATCAGCCTTGAATACGACGGTCACATCACCTCGGGACCTCCTCCGACGACACTCATTGACGAAGAAGGAAAAACCAGCACAAATCCTGAATACCGGCCATGGTTCTGTAGAGATCAGATGATTCTCAGCGCAATGCTAGGCAGCTGCTCGGATGCAATTCAGCCCCTAATCTCTTCCGCCAACACCGCCAAGGAAGCTTGGACGAGACTACAATCCAGCTATGCATCTACTTCCAGGTCACGAATTATCTCACTTAAAACCAAACTCGTTAAGAATCCTAGAGGTTCTCGTTCCATCACTGAATATTTACAAGATATGAGGGCAATTTCTGACAACCTTGCTCTTGCCCAAAGTCCCATCTCAGAAGAGGATCTTATGATCCACATCCTAACTCAATTAGGAGATGAATACAATGCTATCACTGCAGCCCTTAGAGTTTCTGGTACAACCTTATCATATTCAGAAATCTTTGACAAACTCACGGATTTCGAAAGAAGCCTAAAAGAGACATCAGCCTCTCTCGACACAGTCCCAACCACAGTCAACTACACCTCACGAAACCAAGGCTACCAACACAGATCAAACACCAATCAAAACTACAACCGAAGCAATAGATCTTCATCTTCCTATCAGTCTCGTGGCAATCAATCTCAGTGGAACCAAAACACAAACAATAGCAGGCCCACAAACCGAAACAATCAGTTTTGCCAATACTGCAACATTCCGGGCCATCTCACCAAAGAATGCCGCAAGCTAGCACGTTTTCTCAATGAGAACAACATCCACATTGATGCCACGAAAACTCAAAACCCCACAGCTCATGTCACAACCTCGACTCCAGCCTCTACCCAATGGATTTTCGACACAGGAGCATCCAACCATGTGGCGTCTGATCGCAGCTCACTTCATCAGGTTTCTGACTATGGTGGTCCGGACGAAATTGTCCTTGGTGATGGTACCAATCTCCCAATAACACACACTGGCAAAGCTTTTATTCCCACACCACAAAAAAAATTAATACTGTCCAATGTGTTACATGTTCCTAAATTACATAAAAACCTTGTCTCAGTCGGTGAACTTTGTGATACTAATCTTGTTTCGGTGGAATTTTTTCCATCTCATTTTTTTGTGAAGGATCTGTTCACGGGGGCGCGTCTCATGCGGGGAGAGAGAGCTGAAGGAGTTTATCTCACCAAGTCACCTACAAATCGAGTCCTTCATTCCACACTCAAACACTCTCCACTACTTCTTCACCACAAGTTTGGTCATCCGTCTTGTCAAGTGTTTCAACAAATAGTGTCAAAGCTAGGTTTTAGGGTCAAGTCTGAGTCTGATATTCATTGTTCATCATGTTCTATTAATAAAAGTCACAAGTTACCTTTTGGCCAAAACTCCTTTGTTGCTACAAAACCACTTGAATTGATTTACTCTGATGTTTGGGGACCGGTTCAAAAATCTATTGACAAATATACATACTATGTTCTTTTTGTCGATTATTTCACCAAGTATACGTGGCTGTATCCCATCGCTCATAAAAGTGATGTTGCTGTCATATTTCCTCAGTTTAAAGTCCTTGTCGAAAAGTTCTTTCAAACTCCCATCGTTTCTCTGTTTAGTGACAATGGAGGTGAATACATCGGTCTCTTACCCTTTCTACAACAACATGGAATTTCCCATTATACCACCCCGCCTCATACACCTGAACAAAACGGCACTGCAGAACGCCGCCATAGACACATTGTTGAAACCAGTCTAGCTCTACTTCATCATGCCAAACTCCCACTCACCTTCTGGACCTATGCCTTTCAAACCGCGGTGTACTTAATCAACCGGCTTCCCACAAAAATACTCTCCAACAAATCACCCTATGAGTGCTTATTCCATCAACAACCGAACTATCATAAACTTCAACCCTTTGGATGCTTGTGCTACCCGTGGCTATGACCCTATACGTCATCCAAACTCCAACCAAGATCCGCTCCATGTATTTTTCTTGGATACTCCACATCCAAATCGGCTTACAAGTGTTATGACATCGAAACCAAGAAACTTTACCACTCCAAACATGTTGAATTTATACCCACTATATTCCCATATCAACCTACTACTCAAATTGAACAACTGCCCACCCCTGACACCTTTTTCACCTCCCAGCCGACACCTCCTACACCAAATCCCACCTCTGATCAGCAACCTACCTTTCCTCCACCACTCGAACCCATACTAGTTTCTAACTCACCCGGAACCGTACCACACAACTCTACCATCCCAGCTGCTCCTTTGCCATCTAACACTCCTCCTCCAGCATCCCCTCAACCTGCTCCATCTCCCCCTCCTTCACCCACCACCAGCCCACACCTCTTTCCCACACCACCCCAAAACCCTCGCATTCGCAAACCAAACCCAAAATATTTTAACCCATCCTTTGTTAATACCACTACCCAACACCCCATTCCTACCACACTTGAACCCACCACCCATACCCAAGCACTAAAAGACCCGCAATGGCGTGAAGCTATGGACCAAGAGTTTAATGCTCTTATTCACAACGGAACATGGGAGCTTGTTCCAAAAACAACTCAATCTCCTATCGGATGCAAGTGGATCTTTCGCATAAAACGCAACCCGGATGGCACCATCTCCAAATACAAAGCCAGACTAGTAGCCAAGGGTTTCTTACAACAATATGGAAAAGATTATTTTGACACCTTCAGTCCCGTCACAAAACCGGTAACAATTCGTACGGTCCTTTCCATCGCACTTACACACAATTGGCCACTTCGTCAGTTAGATGTCAACAATGCCTTCCTCCAGGGCACTCTTCATGAAGAAGTTTTCATGTCTCAACCTCCCGGTTTCACCCATCCTGATTTTCCTAATCATGTCTGCAAACTAAAAAAATCCCTCTATGGTCTCAAGCAAGCACCTCGTGCATGGTACCTTGAACTTACCTCCTTCCTTATCTCGAGTGGTTATAACAAATCCTTCGCTGATCCGTCTCTCTTCATATACAATTCTCATGGTGTCATTAGTTATCTTCTAGTCTACGTTGATGACTTTGTACTTACCGGTAACAATCCCGCTTTTCTCGAGTCCTTTGTATCCTCCCTAGCCAAACGTTTTTCCATCAAGGATCTCGGTCCACTCCACCATTTTCTTGGGGTAGAGGTCATTCCTGTCACGTCTGGTTTATTCTTGTCTCAACATCGTCATATCCATGACTTGCTTGCACAATTCCATATGGACGGTGCCAAGGAAGTCACAACTCCTCTAAACTCCTCAGTCTCTCTCACCTTGCAAGATGGGTCCGCAAGCACAGATCCAACACAATATCGACGACTTGTGGGCTCCCTTCAGTACCTAGCATTCACTAGGCCCGACATCTCATTTGCGGTTAACAAGCTCTCTCAATTCATGCATGCACCATCTGAGCTTCATTGGCAGTCCCTCAAAAGAGTCCTACGCTATCTTAAAGGCATTATTCATCATGGTTTGTATCTGCGCAAGAACTCTACTACTCATCTTACTGCCTTTTCGGATTCAGACTGGGGAGGTACCGAGTGTGGGGGTCGCTCCACAACTGCTTATCTACTATTTTTGGGGTCTAATATTATCTCCTGGCGCTCCTCAAAACAAAAATCGGTCTCACGGTCTTCTACAGAGGCAGAATACAAGGCGCTTGCAAATGCTGCTTCCGAAGTCATGTGGGTTCAAAATCTGTTACTTGAGCTTGGTATCAAATCCAATTCCGCTCCTACTCTTTTTTGCGATAACACCGGGGCTACCTATTCATGTGCAAACCCCGTCTACCATTCACGCATGAAACACGTAGCCCTTGACTACCACTTTGTTCGGGAGAAGGTCCAAGATGGTTCTCTTCTTGTTCGTCATGTCAACACATTTGATCAACTGGCTGATGCTCTCACCAAACCACTATCTTGTGGTCCATTTCAGCGATTACGTTCCAAGATTGGCGTATCCGATGGATCCTCCATCTTGCGGGGGCGTATTAACCGATAATATATTTCTCAAATATATTATCACGTGATACATAAGTCAATATTATTTAGTCAAGTCTAGCATGTTTATCTCCTGTATAAGCTCCTTTATTATCTCAGTTAGGTTGTAATCTTTGGCTATAAATTGTCTCTCTGTTGTACACTAAATCAATTAATTCAAATACAAAGCTTTTATTTATATCCTAACTGTAACAAAAAAATCATATAATAAAATTTCCCATTATACCCTTTTATAATGGTTTGATTTTATTACATTTTATACATTATAAAAGTATGTTGCTTTTTTCACATATTTTTTCAATTTCTAAAATCTATCAAAATAGCAATCTACTTTCAAATTTCTTGAAGCCAATGTAGCAATCTACTTTCTTTGTTTCTATCATTATGCTTTACTAAATTATAGCTGCTTTTCTACTCTTTTATAGGATCATGGTTGCTTCAAAGATTTTAAGATCCTTGAAATAAAGAAAGCGAAAAATTCATTGAAAATGAAATCACATAACCCGAGAAATTTGACAAATTTCTACAAAAAAGATTTTACCTTTTGTTCATGTCACCAAAGGTTCTTCATTTCGATTATATTCCATGAGGACCACCAATTTATAGCAAGATCATAAGGACAAGACCGTCAATCTCCACCATTTTGTCTTCATAATACTTTCAATTGTGTTTCTTCTGATTCCAGATATACTCTCTCTAACATCCTTTAAACAAATTGGACACTTATGCTTCGCTTATGAAGATCACTCATAATTAAAACCTATAAATTATTTCTAAGAAATGGAGAATGAAGAAGTATAAATCTTGTGATGATGCTACGACGCCGATTAGATTATCGGAAATTATACTTTGGCATTTTGATTTACAAATTGAACAGGGGGATTTTTTAGGCGTAGGAACAGATGTCAAGTCCAAGACTATATATGCATTCCTCATTTAGGTTTATAAAACTAATAAATCATGTCTCTTAACGTTAAGTTGTACATGTTTTGAATCATTAAGTTTTAAAATTAAAAAGCTATCACCATTATAAAATAAGTATATTAATTAAAGTGTTATTTATTTAAGTAATTCGTAGTTTTAATATTAAGTAAATTTCTGATTGGATACATTTTATACTACACACTCTAAATATTAAATATATATGTTTTTTAATAAAATCATGTAAATATGCCATAAATATAAACTATAAATTTCTACCTCTATAACAATTTGACATTTTATTTTCCTAATACATTTTATTCATTATTTACCCTTTAATATGATAAAAACATTAAAAATTTATTACTTATAGTTAATTATAGGTTAATAAATGATTTAGTTTATATGATCCTTGCATACATCTATATTTTTTTATTGCTTTTGGTTCATTATAATTTGTTCTTAATATATATTTATCAATTAATATCATTTTTTTTAATATAAATGTTTTTTTTTCTTTTCGTGGATAAAAATAACAAGATAGACTATATTTGTGCTAAAAAAAAGAAGAATTAGAAAATTATATTTGGATATTAGAAATACAAAAATAATTCTACCATATCATTACCTGAAAATTCATCAACTACACATGTTTTTAAGATGAACCAGAATGGTGATATATTTTTTTTTTCCTAAAGGGTTTTAAAAAATTATGTTTGTTCTATAAATTTATAATAAACAAACCAATACTTTATCGATCTTTTAAACATTTAAAAATAAGAATAAATCTTCATATTTTCAAGTAATATGTTCTCAATACTTTTGTTTTATAGAACCAAATAAGGACATATATTATACTAACGCTAGAGATAAGAGAAAGAGTAAAAAATTAAATTTAGATAATAGATGTAACTAAATGTGATAATTTAAAGTTGCTGATTTTAGATAAAGATGGTAATTTGACCGATAAAATTTCAAATGATGTACATATATAAATAAATATTTCAAAATATATGTTAAAATATTATGTTTATTTTAATTATCAAAGTACTTCATCATTACTGTCAATTTACAACACGTATTTTTTTTTTAAGTTATTATTTTTTTTTCTATATAAAAAATTTATATACTCACCGTGGTTTCCACTAGTTATAGCCTAGTTTATATATATATATATATATATATATATATATATATATATATATATATATATATATATATATATATATATATATATATATATATATATATATATATATATTTGTAGAGTTTTTGTCTACTTTATCCTACATTGGATATGAGGTAATGACCAGAAATATTGGAAAGAACTATGACATGTGTTTCGGGCCGGAACCGATCCGAACCCGAATAATTCGAAGCCCGAATTGGATGAAAAGTGGGAACCAAAACCCGAACCAATTATACTAATACGGACCGGTTTGATTCGGGTAATATAGATTTCGGTTCACTAATTAACCCGAAATGACCGAAATAACCCAAATAATCATTTACACTATGTTTTTGAACTGAATAACCAAATAAACCAAAATGGTCCGAATAACTCAAATAAACTAAAATGACCCGAATAACCCAGTAAGGAAATTCTATATTTAATTAAAGAAAAAAAATATTAATTTAATATTATTTTATTGAACTAAATATAGAATTTTCTTATTTGGGTTATTCGGGTCATTTCGTTTTATTTGGGTTATTCGGGTCATTTCGGTTTCTTTGAGTTATTCGGTTCAAGTGACTATTACCTTTTCGGGTCGGTCTTTTGGCCCGATTAAACATTTATTCGGGTAACACGAACCGAATAACCCGAAACCCGAATTGGGTAAAAATAGATACTCGAAAACCAACCAAAATAACTTATTCGGTCCTAATTCGGGTCGATCCGGTCCGGGATTCGGTTTCGGTTCAGGTATTTGGTCCAAACGCACATCCATATTAGGTAATGACTGATTCAGTCCTGGAAGGGTTCAATTAAGGCGCTTTTTTTTTCTTAATATCGGTTTTGCGAATACTGGTTTTAAATTGGTTCGATTAAGGCGCTTTTTTTTTCCTGAATCATTTACACTATGTTCTAGAGGTGCACAAATACCGGTTTTAAATTGGTTTCGTTTTTTTAAAACAAGTTTCTTTTGGTGGGTTTCGGTTATAATCAGTTCAATTGTTTCTGTTTTCATTAAAGTGAAATTGCATTAAAAAACCCGTTTTTCGGTTAAGTTTTTTTTAGAGAAACCCTAAAAATATTGTTTTCCAATTTTTATTAAAATACGACAAAACTATAAAAATTGTCCATATGCTTTACCAAAGGTCACAAACTCAGTTTCTACTATTTTTTACGAACATGGTCCCCGTGGTTTCCAAAACTTGCATGAAATGATCCTTTTGTTGACGTTCCGTTCATATGTCAGTGTGAATGTATTTTGGTATTTTCAAATAGAATTTGTGACTATAGATTAAACCATATGGATTGTTTATGTAATTTTTTTTTCTATATTTTATGTTTATATGTTTGTGGCTTTTCCACCACTTTAATTTTTAAAATATTATTTTGAACTTTGGAAAATATTACTTTCACTCTTTTATTTTCTAAATTTTCGTGTTTAACTCCGTATTATTATATATAATTTGATTAGTATTAATAATTTTTGTTCATTAACATTAAAAAAAAACTATTTTTATGTGTTTATATTTATATATTTGTCGGTATAGTTCAAGTTGGTTAACGTTTCAACTTTAATTTAGCACATTCATTCGTAAATTACATGTTTTTTTTTATAATTATTATTATAAATAAATTTGTCGGTTTAAGTTCGAGTTTGTCTGCATTTCGACGCATTTTTTAATGTTTTGTGCTTGTTTTTACATATGTGTTATTTCCATTTATGTTTTTTTATGTTGAAACTTATTTTTTATCAATACAATCATCGAAATTCAACTTACAAAATTCAATGCTTATAATTATAGTTTTATCTACATACATAAAATAAGCACAAAAACATACAAAAAGTTTACATCGAAACATAAAAAAAAAAAGTAAAATTTATATCGACACGTGTATAAAAATAAGTAAGATTTTTTTTAAGTTAATGAAAGAAAGCTTAAATAATAAAAAAACGTATTATATGTGCCTCGGGTCATACGTATGAAACATACATAAAATTAAGCACAAAAATGTTAAAAAAAATATGCTTAACGAAACTTAGAGAAACTCAATGATAATACATTTTTTAAAGTTAATGAACAAAAGTTATTATATGTGACCCGAATGATACATAAGAATCTACATAAAATAAAGCACAAAAATGTAAAAGTAAAAAAATCATGTCGAAGTATAGACAATCTCGAATATAATACGTTTTATAAAATTAACAAACGAAAGTTATTATAGGTGACTCGTCTCATACGTAAGAAACGTAAAACAAAACGTAAAAATAAAAAACTACGTCTAAACATAAAAATGTTAAACTGACAATTTTATATAAACACCTTGAATTTTTTTTTTAAAAAAAATTAACGAAAGAAAATCAAAATGTTGATCATCTTGAATTATATCGACAAATATATAAAAATAAAGGTTAACGAACAATAAGTTATTAATAAAAATCAAATTATATTAATATGGGGTTAAATACAAATATTTTGAAAATAGAAGGATGAAAGTAACATTTTTCAAAATTCAAAGTGATATTTCAAAAAGTAATGATATTTTAAAAAGTAAAGAAGTGGAAAAATCACAATATTACATAAATGATCCATATGGTTTACCCATAATCATAAATTCAATCTCTGTTATTTGAAAATACCAAAATACCCCATACTAAAGGATTAACAATAACAACATCAGTAAAATTGATCATTCATGCAAGTTTTGAAAAACATAATGACCATGTTCATCCAAAAAAATAATAAGACTGAGTTTATGACCTTTAATAAACCATAGGAACATTTATTTTATAGTATTTTTCTTAAAATATATTCCTAACCGATTTTCCTGTTATTAAAAAAGTTTGATTTTAGTACCGGTTAATAAAACCAAGTTTACTTTGTGCACCTATACTTTGTTATCCAAGTTTAACTATAACCCACAGAAGCATAGATCTTGACCCTGCCCAATATATGATTACTTTCATATTGGGCTTATGTTTGTCAGCCCATTTGGTAATCCAGCCCGTTCAAAGATTAAAACGGGGTCGTCAACAGACAACATATGCAGCAAATAAGAGCTATGTACCCCGTTTGGCCTTCATCTGCTCAAAACATATGGAACCCTAGCTGGCGCAATCGAGCTCGCGATTCCTCTTTAAATGTTTAACGATTGAGGTAATTTTCGCAAAACCAATTTTTTGTTACGCACACAAGTTTATATATTTATGCGATTAGATTTCTGTTTGGATTTATGGAGCAAATGTATAATTGACAAAAATGCCAGGGTTTCATGTATTCTAGTCTGTTTTTTTAATTTATAGAGATATTTTCTGTTGTATCAAGCGCGATTCTGATTATGTTGACTTTCAAATGGCAATCCATCAGTTAAAAGAAATATATAGCAGCACTGTGATATCCGATATATCAAGCAATTCACTCGATCTATCTATGAGGTTCATATAGCTTGCGAATCTATGAAGAGAATAATTTCTGTGCCAAATTTCAACAAAAATCCATGTTTAAATTCTTTTCTTTCTGAATCGTGCTTCAGTCGACTTCCTTTAATTGAAAGAATAATACATATCGAGTGAAAGTTACTGTGGATTGTTAACCGCTCCTGGGTTCGACTTCGTTGTTAATGTTGTCTGTGTTACTAACTACAAATATGGCTAATATATGTTCCTTTGGTGAACTTATTAGCTGCTTAATATGGCTGACGTTGTTAATGCTCGGAAGTTGCTCATTTAAAATCATAAGTTCGTCTATCTCTGTTCATTATTTTACCACCACATCATTAATCTGCTTGCTTTATGTTTAGAAAAAAAAAACAACTTAAGGAAACAGCTATAAAGAGGGAATTAGCAGCTTTTTGGAGTTAAGCACTTAGCAGGATTGTCATCAAGATCACTTCCTGTAGATGGTAACTTTTCTGTCCTGTTAGTATCATATCATGCTTTCTGCTTTCATTATCTTCATATCACAAAATACAAAATCAATTAATTTCTGTAATTACTTATGCAGGACAAAGATAACAATATCATTTTTGATGGAAACAGTGAAAGCCGACTATATGTAGGCAACCTTGATATGAGAATAACAGAGTAAGCAAAGACATACATACCCTTTCCTAGCAACATTTTAATACATACCCAATTTTCTTTTTTTAATTAAAATTCATTTTGATGCTTTACAGAGGCGCTCTCATAAAAATGTTTTCTCCATTTGGAAAAATCGTGTTCGAGGACTTCCTTTGGCATACACGTGGCCCAAAACGTGGCGAGCCACGTGGCTATGCGTTTGTCCAGTTCAGCACCATGGAGGTAACTTATAGACCGTTCAATTTTTTTTTTTGTTTCATTGGTATCGGTCAGTACATGTCAAATACAGTACAACCTGTTCTGTCCTTTATGACATGTGACCGATGTGACACTAGATTTTTTTTTCATTGATATCAATCTCGGTCCTTGTTGAGCACATGCCATACACAGTATAACCTGTTAATAGACGGGGCCTTGTTGTATATTGGTTTGACAAATTTCTGATTTTTTTCATTTAAAGTGAGTATGCAGGAAGCTAAACTGGCCAAGGAGAAGATGCATGGGAAATTGGCATGTGGAAGGCCTTTAGTAGTGCGACTTGCTAAAGAGAAGTACTTGATGGAAATGGCTGAAAAATCATGTGGTAGTGGTAGTGAGTCAAATGGATTGGGTACCGGGTCGGGTCAAATGGCCCGAAGTGCAAAAATAGCTGCAATAAAGAACAAGTTGAAGGCCATGGAAGAAAATGATCATGTTACAAAGAGGCAGAAGCAAAAGTAGAAAGATAATGCAAGTTGTGTTTTTAGTATTTGTATGAGTAATGGATATCTCTCTCGATAATACTCTTATATTTCAAAAAACAAATCTCACAATATTGAGTAGTTATTATAATATTTGTTATTTTTAGGTGAAAGGAGTTGAAAGGAAAAAAGAAGTAAGATTGAAAAAGCACCATAACGCTAACATTTCATAATTTTTTTTAATGTAAACGGTTATTGAAAGAACTTTGGATTTAGAGAATGTTTCTAAAATATATTTTTTATCAAATAAAATTAATGAAAAACTTATATGTTAATTAGGCTATGATATACTACATTAAGATAGACTAATGAGAAATGAGAGATGACGTTATGAAATGTTCAAAATGGCACCGTTTTTTCATTTCCTAAAGGAAACAACAAAATGGAGACCATTGTTATATGGTCAAAACTACGTTGTTTTCCTATGTCTGTTGCAGACTTGCAAAATGGTCAAAAAGATGTCTTTCAAAACACATTTCTGAATGAACATACAATTTCTAAATGGGTAACTAAAAAATGATGTGTCCACTGGCTATTAAGAAATGTGTTTTTTCCAACTACAATATCATTATTATGTTTTACATCTCACATTATAAAATAGACCCTTAAAATGTCATTCGCGCTAGCCACCTAATATCTCAACGGACCAATTGAGAAACAGTGTAACAACTGAAAATGCATTTTTATTTTTATATGATATTGTTTTTATGTTTACATTCGACATGGTGAAATAGGTTCTTTAAAACACATTGTCTAGTAGTACCAACATTTCCCTATTAACCCGCTTGGAAATCATGTAACTTAATGTTGTTTATTCGATGTTTTTATATTTAACACTAGTTTATAACCTGTGGGAACTACAAAGATATATATATATATATATATATATATATATATATATATATATATGATCAAATAAGAACATCTAAAATGTTAAGAACGCGAGAACAAATCTAAGCTCTCTAAATTTTAAAATCAAAGGTTAATATTAACAAGTCATTTATATAAATTCTGAAACTTATAGGATTAAACTGTAACTTCTTAATTAACTAAAAAGGTACTATGGTCATTAGGTTTTATCATATATTTATCAGCTCCTAAAATCTCTATCGCTCTCTCTCTCTCTCTCTCTCTCATCTATTTCAGGTTTCCTTTAAACCGTAATCGATGGAAACCAACACTAAAAAAACATACACCTCTTTCTTCTCATCTCTCCATTGCCGAGATCTTGAGTTTTCTTCAACCTAGCCGCCATACAAGACACAATACACCTCCACTACCATCTTGATAGTCGAACCTGCCAGCAGCACCACCGCCACCATCATCATTCAACGCCATCATAACCATCTCTTGCCATTACCATAACTGTAGCTTTCTGGATCCAACCTTGGGGGTCAAAACTAGAAAACTCTGGCGGTGTAATCTTCTTAACTGCCAAAGGTACCACTTTCTTGGTGCCAGAGAGATTAAGAAGTGGAGGATTACTGTTTCCAGAAGACCTACCAAAACCCTCGCCAGTGGGTATTGGGGAACCAGATGAACCTTCAATTACCAACGAGCTACCACGAATTCCTCAACTACCGTTACTCTATGGAGGTGATTTCCCATTTTGTTTCATCCAAGTAAGGACCAGCTTTCAAAATTCAGCACTCTCTCCTTGATCCTACCTCAAAATCCAAGTATGCCATGGTTGTTATCATCTTCACAGAATAAGAAAAAGAGTGGATGTTGTTTTTTTCATTGGATTACATGTGTGTATGTATGACCCAAAAAAATCGCAACACTCCAAGTTGAATAAATCACTCCCCCTATGATCTATCTTTCTTTATCCAATGTCGCCACTCGTTTCGATTTTGTGTGTTGATTCTAGAAGAAATCAAATGACAATAGGTGACACGCAGCTAGCTAAAAGATAAGTTACCTGATAGCACTCTCACTGGCCTGGAAATCATTCGAGAAACCACAGTAACGATTGTTCAAATCCGAGAGCGATTGAAAGCCTCTAGAAATAGGCAAAAGAGCTACGCAGACAAGAGACAAAACCCCTTGGAATTCCAGGTTGGTGACCGCGTTCTGTTGAAGGTCTTACCCCGGAAGGGCATGATACGCTTCAGAAAGCGTGGGAAGCTAAATCCAAGGTACATTGAGCCAAACTCCGTTTACCACAAGAACTTAACAACGTACACCTTGTCTTCCACGTGTCAAATCTAAAGAAGTGTCTATCCGACGATACTCCTGTGATTCCACTCGATGAAATCGAGATAAACGATAATCTTAACTTTGTGGAAGAACTAGTAGAAATCATGGATTGGGAAGTCAAATGAATGAAACAAAGTCGCATGCCAATAGTGAAGGTTCGTTGGAATGCCAAGCGGGGATCTGAATTCACTTGGGAGTGAGAAGACCAGATGCAACAAAAGTACCCGCATCTTTTCCCTAGTCGATAAGTACTCAATTTAGATTTAATTTTGGGACGAAATTCCCTCTAATGGGGGGATGATGTAACAATTCGTTGTTTTGAGTTAATAAAAGTCTAGACTACAAGCATGTACAAGTAAAACTCATGACCTATATTGTTGTTATAAGAACTTTGGATGCCTAGTGTGCATGCTTATTTAACCTATATATAAGTATAAATTTAAAATAGGTTTAATGCAAGCGAATACAAGTTCAACACTTAATTAAAATTAAGGAAATTAAAGTTTTAAAATGGTACAAAGTAGTTTACGGTTTTGGGAATCTAATCCCCAAACCAAACCGTTACACATGCTTTTGAGGTAAAGAAAACCCGAAAACCAGCAAATCCGAAAACACCCCTTATAGAAAGCCAAAACCGTAAACTCTTTTCCCTTTTGACTCAAATCTGAAAACCCTTCATCATTTTGACTTTAGGGGAGAAAACTCAATAAGGGGCCCATTATGAACCGTACACCACCCCTATATATATATATATATATATATATATATATATATATATATATATATATATATATATATATATATATATATATATATATATATGTTCATCCGTAAACCAATTCATTTCTCAATATTTCATCCGAAAACAACCCAAAATTTCTCTCAAGTATCATCCGTGAACCCTCTCAATCTTCAAGAGTTTTACATAGATTCCCTTCAAATGTTCATATTCCCATCAAGAACATTCATCCCATATTCAAATCTTCATAATATTCTTCAAATCTTCAAGCATTCACTCAAGAACACAAGAACACACCGAAAACTCATTAAGTCAACCGAAAACTCCATTTTATCCACCGAAAACCCATTTCAACATTTCAAATAATTCCAAGTAATTATTGTAAGTATTCCTTACATAATTAAAGTGTTGTTTAACACTTTAATTATTATTTACAACCTTCTTTAATTCATTATTTAAATTAATATCTTATAAATTTAAATACGACGTCGAATATAATTATTTTCAAGATAATGTTATTCGCACGTATGCTTACTCGAGGATCGTCTCTACAACTTGCTATTCAAGCTAACACACATTTGAGGTGAGTTCATATCCCTACGTTTTCAATTTTTTTAATGTTTTTAGGGGGAGAGAGAGAGAGAGAGAGAGAATACAAGTAAAACACAAGGACTTTTGTGTTTTATACAAACATTTTTAAACAGTTTTACTTTCATACAATTAGATTGCAAATGTATTCAGTACATTACAAAACACTACAGTTAAACTATAATTGGTATAGTTTGATAATCATCACACTATTTTGCTAAGTGCAATACACAGAACAAGAACGTATATTCAAACTATAATAGGTATAGTTTGGGAAACACTACTCTAATACATTGATACAAGGGTACACTACAAAAATAATTATTTAAATATAATTATTTTGCACTACAAACTACATTAATACAAGGCAATACATACACTTTCCAGTACAAGAGAACACTACAACACTATAACATTACACGTAAACTAGTTAATACAGGGTTGTGAGGCACTACTTCAAGTGTATCCATCAGGGTACATAACTAAATCCTATACCGTATAACCATAGTCTCCTGGAGGGAGAGCATAAGATATGTGTATAGATCTATACGGGACTGACAATCCCACACCTGAGCTACTAGCTACAGTTAGGTTGACAGGCCTAGGGTAGCAAATGTCATAACTTTCGGATGCCCGAAGAACGTCGTAGAGGTCACTAGGTCAAATCAAGCATGGTTATATGAAACCCACAATAGTATAACTAAAACATTTGTTTATGGGCTAAACATTACTTCAAGGTTTTTATTTTAATTAATAAAACTACAATACATTACTTTACAGTACAACTGGTGGTAACCAGGCATTCATACCAAGGTTTTCATACAAACACTATTATAGTACACTAATTTACATTATTGTTGCTGGTATCTAGGCATTCATATAAAGGCTTTCATACAAAACTAGTTATAGTACACTATTTTATAGTACTGAGTATACTAATACAATATACATTTACAAGGAACATACATGACTACATTACATTCACTAAAGAAAATATTGGATTTTCTGGAAGTACACTATAATGATTTTCAAGTAACAATGACAAGCATTTTCCATCTCAAAAACATACTTATGAACTCACCAACTTAAATGGTGATACACTTTCAAAATCACTTGTATTCTCAGGGAACCGATAAGACACACATGCATGTTTTGAGAAGATGGAGCTTTTAGAGTAGCGTCTTTTATACTTTTTCTATACATTTTGATGTTATACAAACTATGTATCGAACAGATGTAAATACTTTACTTTATCAATGTAATGGTTGTGTTTGCTTTGATTCCTATTATACAATTATTGTGATACTGTACATGACGTCCTCTGCCCCCGAACGTTTCCACCGTTTCGGTTTTGTAACGACCGTCATCGAGGTATTATTTATTATATATTTCTTAATTTTTTTGTTGGGCTAAATGTAGATAGAACGATTAAAAGAGTGGACTTTGGTAAGTAGCCTGAGGGCTTGGGCCGCCCATAAGTCGTATGCTGGGCGTAGCCTTGGTGTACGCAGGGCGTAGAGACGCATTGGATGTGGGGGACGCATGCACGTACGCACAACGTACCAAAGAGTACGTACAGCGTACGTGAGCAGATTCGAAAACCCTAATTTTTAGGGTTTAAGTCGTATTAATATCTCACTATAGGTCAACCCTAGCCTCCTTATCAGCCCCTCACCCTCAGAAACCCTAAATATCA